TTTCGCTTAACGGATTAACCAGATGATAATAATGAGATAGGGTACAGATATACTAGGGCAACCAAGGTGGAACTTTACAATTCAGGAATACTTTTCCAATAATTCCTAGAATTCCCAAGGAAGGTGAAGCAGTGTTTTTATTCACTTTTAGCTTGGTACTTGGGTACCGTTGTATTCATTTTCTTGATCCTTTCCGACCCCATTTAATATTTATTGCACTACAAAATTACAAATTCTGTAAGAGGTTCCTGAAGAGGTTTTATAGTCCCGACCTCTAATTAGGTATGCTAATACAAAATTTCCCTAAGAATTACCTTGATCCTTGCTGAACCCAATCCCCCAATCCTCATACATAAATGGATGTACATACATTCCCCCCAACAATTTCCCACTCTAATTACAGCAAGAAAAAAAAGGGTATGTATCCAAAAGGCAAGGTCAAAGCAAAACGAACGGGGCGACGGGAACAACAAAAGACACAGCGACAGAAACGGACGGACGGCAGGCAGGCGCAACACTAACAACAGCAACAGCAACAACAAACATATTAATGAAATCGCTTTTAACTCGTTTCGCTCAAGTATTTTATACACACACACACAGATGTGTATATATCCGTATAAATTGTGTGTAGAAGTGTGGAGGAAGACATGACATGCCTTCTCATGTGGTGGCCCCCTCTCGTGGTATGTTATAAAAGTGCAACAACAATATTTAATACACACACACAAGAACACACACATACAGCACACCACACTCGGGCACATGATAAAAACAAACACGATACGATCGGTTGGGATCGGAGAGCCCAAAACGATGACCCAAAGTGGCCAGGCGGCTACAATAATAAATGAAATTCAAGTATTTAATATATTATCAAAAGTATTAGCCTGTCCAAAACAAAATGTGTGTGTGTGTGTGTGTGTATAATGCTTGGAGCAAGTGCGCCAATTTTATTTGATTTTTATTTCGGAGATTGTGTAAGCCACTTGATGGAGGGAGGAGCATCATCAGGTTCGTCTTGGAGGGGTTGCCAGACTACCGAAATTGAGGGCTCGCCTTTTAATTTTCATTCGTAAAATATATATCCCAAGCTGTTCCTCGGTCACAGCGTTTTTAGATAGAATTTAGGTAGCGTAAATGTTGCCTAGGATTAGATATTACTAACTTAACTAAACCACAAGTCAACTGATCTCTGAGCTCACATAAGTATTAAAGTTTTCCACTCCATTAACAATTATTTGACCAATTTTATAGTTGGAACTCGTGTAAGAGTGACCTCAATTCAACAAATGGTGTCTCAAAGGTTCCATGCCTTATCGCAACAGCAGATAAAAGAAAACATCGACCCACACGAGAGACAGACAGACAGACACAATCAATATTTTCAGTCACAATTGCATTTACGAGACTGAGACTAGGCGTGGGGAACAAATCACTGTTCCACTTGGAATTCGTTGGCCTCCAATCGGATGAATGAAAACCGAGAAACAGAGCGGTGACACCTTTATAAGCTGGTGCCAAAGAGAAAACAAAATGAAATGTCCAAATCACTGCTTCCGTAATGGAATATAGGATTCAAAAAATCATGTGTATACCCCAAACATGGTGAACAGGTAAAAAGAGGCGCTTAGAGGAACTGGTTCACAAAAGACCCGACACGACCAAGACCACGACGACCGATGGCCAAGAGACTCTTGCCCCGAAGGCCAAGCGAAATCAAAGTAACCAAATACAAAAACAAAACAAAAAATGCAGACTCGAGAAATATCATGGAGAGAAAAATAAAACGCCCATGGAGACAGCGTCGTCGTCTTCGATGGCCGCCATTGTGCCCCACCGCCGTTTGGGAGCTTCAGTATACACACATGCATAATTCTGTTTGGCTGTGTTTGTGATGGGGAGGGGTCATCAAACTATGACGTCGCCAAAATCGAACTCCAAACAGGAGGATTGCATTTCCACATTCCATTTCCTGGTCCTGCTAGTCGGTTCTATATGTATTTCCCCCGAGCCGAGGCCTTATCATTTTGAAACAAGTTCCGTGTTCCCATATATGGGTTAATTGATACACTGATAAGGCCCCGCCATGCAACCCCAGTCATGCGCTCGTTTTTCAGTTGGGGCTATGGTATTAAAATTTTGGAAAAAAAAACATGCAACTGTAAAATGGCATACAAGAAATTAACAAATTTTACGAACTGAGTGGATTTATTTTTCAAAAATCAGCGTAGGAAGTGGCCAATTGATCCTGCTTTTCAGGTTCGGATGAATATATAATTTATTTTCCATTTTAGCGTGGAATTATCATAACCAAGTTTTATATATCTTTATAGAAAATTCCACTTAGAGAAAGTACAAAATGGTGATATCTTCTAAAGCAGTTTCTAAACCAACTCTACTGCTTGGCAACTGCTCTTCGAAACTGCTTGCAACATAGCATTACCTACATAACGTGCAAAAAGTCACAGGTTGCCCCACACACACACACACACACACTATCAGCATCCCTTAGCACCAGTCTGGCAACGCTTTCAGCACTTGGGAATTAAAAACTAATCAGAGATTTTAATTCCCCAAGGGCCCGCTTCGTGGACGGTTTAAACAATGCAATTAAACATATATTACACACACACTCAAACACATGTAGTATATAAGTCTTGACTTTATGTTGGAGATAAATCAAATTGAAATTGCCAATGACGTCAGCTGTTAAAATCTTATGAATTGAAACTATTCACATACCCAGCACCACAGGCAAAGAAGAGTTTCGACGGGGTTGCACTTAAAAATATTATATAAAAGTGCACACACTCCCGCACACACACCTAGCGACGACGTGACCGACCACCGACCCACCATGAGCGTGCAGCTGGCGCGTCAGCTGTCGCCCGCCCCGGCATGGCATGGACTTTTTGCCGGCAGGCGGCAGCAGCGGCTAACCACCCACACAGAAGGAGCTGCAGGCTGAGGGAGAAAAAACAGTTGGTTTGCCCTGCCCTGCTGCTCCTTCATAGAGTATAGTATGCCCAGCGCAGCACCCCCCAACAGACACACACGCACACACATTCGTCACACACACGCACACCTCTAACAGCTAGAATACTACCTACCACATTTTTTCCATTTCGTCTTGTATGGATTTTTCCGCCACGTTTTTCACACACTTCCAGATGAGCCAGCGAGGTGCTTTTGGTCGCAAATTGTAGATAATAAAATTACCTTTCGATTGAGCTGGTTTCGATGAGGTTTGTTCAAAGATTTCCTAGCTAAAGAGGCACTCGAAATTCGTAGCCCAGCCAATGTGCTCTTGTGCTTCTTCCTCTTCGAACACCATGACAATTTGGTTGCGACGACGACAGCACAGCAGCAGCCTACAGACTTGATGGGCAGAAAGAGAGAGACCGAGCGAGAGACGAGACGACGACGAGGCGAGGTGGTGAGCAGAACGGCGAATTGAAAAAGCAACAGCAAACCAACAACAACAGCAGGAGCAGCAGCAGAATGACGGTGATGACGTTTTTGTTGCTCTCCACCAGCTCTTTTCTTTTCCTAACTTCCGCTGCAATCCGCACTTACTGTTAATCTTTACTTTAATTGCAACTTGTTTGTAGCAATGCTAGATATATTTTTCAGTGTGACACACTCGCGACTTTGATTTCGACGCGCTTCATAAGCGAAATGAACAACTTGCTGCTGCTGCTATGTGGTGTGTTGTGTTGTTGTGTGTGTTTGAGTGTGTGTTGCGGTGGTGTGCGTTATTGCTCGATTTGCCTTTACTTTGTTTGTTCTTTTACACACGCTTTCGTGTATCGCAGTGTTGATTTTTTCAATCAATCAATCGCAAAAAATACTGCTACTACTATTTTGAACATTTCACCTTGGCTCCCACACAATCGAGAGATATTTCAAGGAAATCTCTCGCTCTCTCACTCTCTCTCTCTTCAGCAAACACTAATCGCATGCACACGCACAACAGGCCCGGCCCGGCAAGCATTTTTTGTTGTTTATCGTTGTTGTTGTTGTCGGCGAATCAGCTGTTCGTGTCTTTTTGAACTGAACTGAACTAGTTCGTTTAGGAAAATGTGTCTTTTTGAACGGAACTAGTTTGTGCAGCTAGTTCCACAGTATGACCGTATTTACTACGTATACCCAACGTATTGGAGATGGGCGATATTAATCGCCTTTGAAATCTGGCCACACTCTAACTTTCTCCATAATTAATCGCATCGCAATATATATCCTCATTAATCGCCTTATTTATCGTCATTATTCCATTCTCGGTACTAGCCCGCCAGATTTGAAATCTGGCAAAAGAAGGATATATTCAAGAAGAGATAATTCAAAATCACGAAATTAAAATAAATGTTAAGCTTACAAATTTTTTCTTTTTAAACTTATGAAACTTATGTATATTCGGCTTCGCCCGCTATTATTTTCATAATATTCGTTTAACTTTTGTTTGGGAAACATTCTGCCAATTTCCATTGTTTAACTGTCGCCCGAATTCAGCCGAAATATAAATTTTTTTCAAAATAATAGTTAGCGATAATTTTGATTAAGTTCTTCCTGTCCCATAACGTTAAATACCCAGTCTTATTGGACATTTTCCACATGAGAAGGCGAATGAATAGACATCACAATCACTCAGACGAGTTATTAGAAGAGCTCTACAACTATTAATTTACAACCAGTAATTGGCAATGTAAATTCGCAGAAATACCGAGCAGGATGAGATCAATGCCAGCTCACTTAATGACAGAATATTTAAGAACACGTTATTACATACAGGCTTGTAACCTAAAGGCAATGGTTCAGCGACACTTTGCCCAATCGGAAGATCCATTAAAATTGGATAAAATAAATTGTCTAAAATTCGAATTCAATGGCGATGGTCTGGCCAAAAACGTATCAGATGTTGTTCAATTTGCCCATTAAACACATTAAAAATTATATATGCCCGGATAACCTCAGATATTTTTAAACCTGCGTGCACGGGGTAATGGTTACATTAAAAACCACCTAAAAATTACTTGGAAATCCTTGAAAAATTAATTTACGTGCGCACATGAAAAGCCGCTTCGAGCACGACTTTAAGGAGGGCGAGGGCCAGAGGAACTGGGTCCAGGTCCTGTGCAGAGTGTGCGGAGCCACAGCGGGAGCACCGACCGACCCCTACGAACCCAATGATGTTCCTGTTCGATTGGTAATTTTTGTTCGTTAATCTTGTGGCATCCCATCCCCTGCGACGATCCGTCTAAGCTTAACTAACACTAAGAACTCTAATCAACAGAATCAGAATCTGGACGACTGCAAAATTGTCGAATGAATTCTGTGTTTCATGAATGGTTCATATAGAAAACAATTTATGTGGAAATAAACTTGGTAAGAGCTGCTCTGAGGAAATTAATTTGACTTGGAATAATCAAATGTTAAGTAACAGATTCGACTATTAAATTATAAGTCTGCTCTACAGCGAATTAGGCTGAAATAAATTGGAAACTTAAACTACAGTAAAGCAATCCTTGAACTGAAGGCTGCAGCTAGGAAAGTGCATTGAACTGTGCCCTGGGAATTCGGCTGCCTTGTCTGGGAATCCAACACGTTGCAAATTCACAAAGCCTAAAAAATACGCCAACAAAAAAAGGGTAAAGTAAATCAAGAAACCCCCCAGACGCAGAGCCAAAGGACCAAAAGACTTAATTGCATTTGCAATGAGCAGCAGCCGCACAATTGAATGGTTTTTTGATAAGTCATCATCATCCTTCCTCTCACACGTCTCCAGTGCGCTCACCGCAGACAGGGGATGGATGCAGTCGCCGGTCGCCAGAGTGATTGCAGATATTTCGGGGCTTGTGCAGCTTTTTTTTAGGTTTTTTTTTTGTTTTTGGCATTTCACTTATGATTAATGGAGACAAGGAGTAAATGCAATCGACATACCAGCTGAAAAGGACAAGAGAAAAAAAAGGGGTGGAAACGGCAGTCATGATGTCAAAATTCATTTAATACCTAAAGGAAAAATCACTCGGTATCCGCTCTCGCCGCCAGCGTCTCTCAAATATCAATTATAACAAACACTTCGAAGTTGCTTTGGTCCGCATCCTGTACGATTTGCATGGCCGAGTAGGTGATTGCCTTCACCTCGGTGCCCTGCGGGTGCTTGCCCAGCTCGAAGGGTTCACCGTAGCAGCGGCAGACAATCTCGAAGGTATCCAGATCGAATTTGGTGATATCCAGTTTCTTGCACACCAGATTCGGTTCAACGGAGAACAGGAATAGCAGCTCGTCGAGAAAGTGGAACAGTAATCCCTCCAGATCATCGCCCTTGGCCTCGATCTCGTAGCAGCTCTCCACGGACACGTACTCCAGTTCCGTCATGTATCCAAACATTGCCACGCCGCACTGCTCGAATGCCTCCGTCAGCGTGGTGCCCCACGCATGGAGTCTGCAAGCGGAACGCAACCATGTGGTTAATAATACTACGCCAGAGGTGTTGTTTTTGTTGCTATTACTCACTGCACGTCGGCCGTATGGTCCAGGTCTGGGAATGAATCAAATGAAAATGGTAAGCAACAGGCGGTGCAGGCACCAACTTGTGGCATTTACTTACATTCATACTTTGTCTCTGGCAGCAGAAAGTCCTCTTTGCTGAACTCTACTTCCATATTTAACTAATTAACTTGGTTGGCATTAGCGGCTAAAAAACAATAACAAATGACTAATGGTAGTGGAGATGCGCCACCATCGATAGTAATATCGCTAGAGCAAACATGTTCGCACTATCGATTGCACTGCTCACTTTCGATAGACGCCACCTGTTGCTCCTGATTCCGGAAATAATAACAATAAAAAGGAGTGCGGGGGAGGAAACCCCCCCGGACTTCGAACATCATAATCTTTGCTCCATAAACTATAACAAACTTTGCTGAATTCGGATCAGCAAGTCGCAATCAATTTGAATTTAAAATTGCGCGCAAAATGTTTCGTTAAAAAATTCAACTGACACAAATCTAACAAATAAAAGAAGAGCTCCCTCAATACAAAAATTTACCAACATTTTATTAATATTTAAGTGCCAAAAATATGTTTACCCCACTTAAACAAGTCAAACATCAGCTCTGACTGAAATTGGTGCAAGTTTCGTGCCTTGGACCTTCATTAAATTGCAATCAGCCAAGAAGCTGTAACCTTGCAGTTCCATTTGGCCAAAAGCACTACTCATCCTCATAATCTTATCTTTCATTGTTTCTTCTCTCATTAGCATCACACTTAATGGGTCTGTCAACGTCAATGGATACTCTTCCCGTTTCGTTGGAAAATGCCAAAGCACGTTTCAAAATGAAGTCATGAAATATAAATTATTCACTACCATGAACTTGAGTGTTGGGCAGGCTGTAACTACATTCCATGAATTGATATATTAAATAACCGTAGCCGAACATTGGAACATTAGGTAAGAGTGCTTTGTCTGGAGTTTTTAGATTTAGAAGAAGGCGATTAAGGGGGTGTAATGGATTCGTTTTCCATGCCCAATTGAATGTTATCCATATTCCATTACAGATCAAACGGATTTAATTTGAGCCGGTAGCTCAGTTGGCTCTGTTAACATGTCGCGAAATCGGCTCACTTAACTGTTAACAATAAACAAAACCTTTTTTGAATATTCGTGCGCTTTTTGCATACTAAAGGAGTTGGCTGGGTTCAGTGCTCGACCCAGAATTTCTCTGCATATTTGGTGTAATGTTGTTGCCCCCAAAAAATAATATTCTAGAAAGTAAAAAGTGTAATTAGCCAAACAATGACTCTGGTTTTTGCGAATATTGAAGTGGTAAAACAAAACTCTTTCAATTAAAACCCAAAGCAGCAGCAAATACAATTTTTCAAAACAAATAAAAGCACTCAACTAAATTTCCAGAAAATTCCTGTAAAGCTTACATTGTAAACCAGCAAAAATCAAGGGCAAAAACTACCTTTGGCCCTGCACAAATAAAAAAATTAAACATCTTTGACATTGAACAAAACATGCAATAACAGTAACAATCAACAAAGTACAACTATTTAGACAATAAGAGATTTAACATTGGGTTTGTTTTTCCCATTAACAGCAGGCACTCAAACTGTAGTCATGTCGCAACGCTGCTACTCAAACTGTAACAGCCGCCTTTGGGCGCTGATTGTTGTGGTCCTTATGATGAATGTGTTGCTGGTGCATGCCGTGGACTATGGGGATCATGTGGATTCGGATCTGCTGTACTGGCTGGGAAAGTGCCACATACAGAGCAGCGACTACAATGGATGCATGCAGCAGGCCTTGAACGTTATGCGGGTGTACTTCCAATCAGGTGAGTGTGAGCCAAGCAGGTATCACCGTAACCCATCTCTGCGGCATTCAGGCTTACCCGCCTATCATGTGAAGCCCTTTGAGCCCCATCACTCGGACTTTGTGGAGCTGCGGCGAGGGTTCACGGCCCAGGACGTCGGCAGCTTTCATCTCGTTTTGCGCAATGTCTCTGACCACGGATGGTTGAAATCTAAAGTGACCAAATTCGAGGAGCATTTCGTACCTAAAAACTTTGTCTTTTCGCAATACTTTCCACAAAAATATTTGGAGGGTCTGTACGAAATCACCGCCGCGGTGCTAGGCACGGTGATCAAGCGTCAAGGCTCCTGGAACCTCACACTCAACGATTACAGGTGAGGAGGATTGTATTAGGTATGCCACAAATTGAACATTTTTTTAAAATATTTTCCCAGTCAAACCACCCCAGTTACACGTGTGGGCGGGCCAGGATCTCTTTTGAAGGTTCATGTGGAAATAGAAAACATTGGAGGCTTGGAAATTCATGCTGGGAATCTACTTGCGCCGTCTATAAGCCCGATAGCCGACACCATCGTCATCGGCTTGTGGGCCCTCGGTCTTCCCTTTCTCCAGCCGTTGCTCAATGAGCTGGTGAGCACCGCCTTCACGGACATCTTCAACGATTCCTTTAGACACTTTCCATTCGCGAAGTTCCTGAGTATATAATAATAATAAATCACTCACTGAAATCAAAAATTATGTGTTTTCTACTCAAATCCTGATGATTTCCTGCAGCCCTGCTGCATGCTGGAATTGTTGTAAATTCGATTTTGGCCCTTCATTAAAGCCCAGAAGCTGTAGCCTTGAGAATACATTTGGCCAAAAGGGCACGCATCATAAGGAGATCTTTCACTTATTGGCATCAGATTTTGCAAGTCTGTCAATTGATACACTTCCAGCTCAGCCAGCAGTCAGCACGCTCATGAAATTAAGTCATGAAATTTAAATTATTCAACAGCATGAACTTGAGTGCTGGCTGTGGGTACATGATTTGCTTTGAGTGTACACACATCAAATAACCATAGCCGGACATTTGGGCTTGCCTAATTAAATTCAGCTCACTTTTTGGCTCATTAATGTGTGGTTTGTAGGGATAGAGGGGGAGCTAGTAGTACAGGGTATATTCAAGTCGTTTGGGTGTGGGGACAGCGTTAAGAGCCGAGATGATTAGCCATATTTTATAGGTACAGGGTGCCTGATATTCGTTTGTCCAGCACAGGAGACTATTCTTATCTCTTGGTACCCAATATTCAGGCAATATCTGCAGATATAACAAGTAGTATGTGAACTACTATGTTCCTTTAAAGAGTGAAGGAGAATACCACCTCTATTTATTTTTGCTCTTTTTGCGCTCCTGCTGAGCCCTGGGGTAACTTGTCGTCGAATCACTCTATTCCCTTTATTCCTAATTGTTTCTAAATATATCTTTGAATATTTTGTTGGCCAATGATTTACGACAATTTTGGTTTTCTTCCACATTTTTTTTTGTGGGTGGGGCAAAGACAATAATAAGGAAACGAAATTCCAAAGTAAAAATCAAGTTGACAAAGCTCAAGTTTGCTGCTCTCGGCTTTCAAACATTTTTCCTGTCTGTCTTTTCACTGTCGGGTTTTTTTTCTGTTTTTGTTTAGCTGCAAGCTTTCTGGGGGCTTTGACTGGAGCTAGAGCTCCAAGCTGAGGCTTGGTTTCGGGTTCGGGTTCGATTTGTAGCTTCAGTTGGCCACGGTACCTCGAATGATTCACAACACGTCGCGAATTCGGTTCACTTAACTGTAAAAATACTGAGCACAAATTTTTGGAATATTCGTGCGCCTTCTGCATACGAAAGGAGTTTGGTTCTGCCAGAGGCAGAATTTTCGTTGCTGTTTTTTCACACCCAAAAATAGTATAGAAAGTAAATGCAGTAGTTGAATATCCAAAACAAATAGAGTAATAATAAATTGCTTAACCAACTTGTTTGGTTGGATAACTGACCGTTGGTCAAGTGCTATTGCAACTGCAGCCGCTAAAACTGAACAATTGCCAAATGTTATCATACATTGCTGCGGCTGCGTCTGCTGCTGCCGCTACTGCTACTGTTGTTGCCACTTTCGTGTTGCATGAGTGAATGTCTGAATGCCTCAAAGAGCCACCCCTCGAACCGCCAGTTTGTGTCTCGTTTAAGTCTTTAGTTTACAATTGTTTGCTCATTATTATTAGGGGTTTTCTCTCTCTCTCAGTTGCTGCTGCGACAAGCAATAATCTGTCCGCTTAAAATTAAAGAGGTCAAGTGCAGGCCGCACATAAACAAACAAACAAAAAACATTACAAAACCCTGAAAAAAATAAGAAACACTAAAAACTATTGAACCAGAGATAGGTCTGGTCGGCACGTGGGAGGTATTAGAGATGCTGAAAAATGGAAGCACGAATGGAAGCACCTCCCAGCAAATGATAAAATTAATAATAATATAAAATAAAATAGAAGAAAATACTATAAAAAAAAGTGTGTTTAAAGATAAAATTTCTAAGGTCAGAAGCTGAGCTTCGTACAAAAACTAGAACAAAAAGTATATCTGATATCACTCATAAATATTTGATCCAAATATGTGCACAATTTTCCCGAAGCTAAGATCAAATTATAACTTTCAGAAAAATTACAAAGCCGTTTCCCTAATTAAACAACTTAAACTAAAAGAACTAAGCTACAGTCTTAAAGACTTCCAACAGTACATACAAAACTTTTAAAATTGCTCAACAAAACTGTTAAAAAAGTCTTCAGCTGATAAGAGCCAATAAAAATGTACAAATCCTACAAGCAGTGCATTAAAAACTGTTGCTCAACCACCCGCAATCTAAAACTGTGCAGTTTAGTGCATTCAAAAGCAGCAAACAACAGTACCCATAAAACTGTAAACCAGCAAAAATCAAGGGAAATTTGAACAAAAATTACCGTTGGCTCTGCACAGACAAACAATTAAACATCTTTGACATTGAACAAAACATGGCATAACCGTAACAATCAACAAGGTACAGCTAATATAAACAATAAGAGATTTAACATTGGGTTTGTTTTTCCCATTAACAGCAGACACCAAAACTGTGATCATGTCGCAACGCTGCTGCTCAAACTGTAACAGCTGTGGAAGCCGCCTTTGGGCTGCGATTATTGCGTTTCTTGTGGTGAATGTGTTGCTGGTGCATGCATCGAACCAAATTGACGTGGAGTCTGATCTGCGGCACTTGCTGGGACGCTGCCACAGCCAGAGCGATGAATACAATGATTGCATGAAGCAGGTTTTTAACGATCTGCGGGCGTACTTCACAACAGGTGAGCGCCACAGTGGAGCAAGCATTGAGTAACGTAACCCAACCGTGTGACTTTCAGGCATACCCGACTATCACATAAAACCCTTTGATCCCCATCATTCTGACTATGTGGAGCTGCGGCGTGGCGACGGATCCCACGGCATTGGCAGCTTTCGGCTAGTTTTGCGCAATGTTTCCGAGTACGGTTGGTCCAAGTCCGAGGTGACCAAGTTCCATGCGGATGCCGAAGATCAGCGCATTGTCTATGCGCAATATTTCCCCGACAAAAGCTTGGAGGGTCAGTACGAGTTCACCGGCAAGGTGCTGGGCACGGAGATCAAGCGTCGCGGCCCCTGGAATCTCACACTCTACGATTACAGGTGGGGTGGGCATTTCCTAACTTTATACAATTTTATATTATTTATGTTTAAATCTGTTTTTCCAGTCAAACTACCAGCGTTCTACGCGTGGGCGGGCCAGGATCTCTGCTCAAAGTGCATGTGGAGGTCGATCGCATTGGCGGCATGGAACTGCACATAGGGAATCTGCTTGGTCAGACGCTCAACTCGCTGGCCGATGGCGTCATCAATAGCATGTGGCATCTAGGGCTGCCCTTTGTCAAGCCCATGATCAATGAGCTGGTGAGCACCGCCTTCACGGACATCTTCAACGAATCCTTTCGCTACTTTCCCCTCGAGAGTTTCCTCAGCGCCACCTGATCTGCATAGTTTTATACATACGTGTAATATTTAATGGAAATCCATAGAGCAAGGCTAGTTAACTAGTTAATTAAATGTTTAAACATCTGCCAAAGTGCTGGCGATCAGTTCGTTGTGGGGTCGCGGCCTCGCCGGTTGCAGTGCCATCAGTGTCAGGGTGCGGCCAAAGAGCTTACGCAGCGAGATGACCACATAGGAGGAGCTCTGCAAGTGCTGATCCACAGTCTCGTAGAGCATTTGGTAGCCCTGCTCTAGCTCCGGCGTCATGGTGGCTGCAAAAAACAAGGGAATCCTCCATTAGATTTGGTTATTTTTTGATTGGCGATCGTAGCTTACGTTTTTGCTGGAGCTGCTGCTTATTGAGGTCGAAGATGAAGCGCAGATAGCCAAGCTGATTGTACAGATCCCGCTCCGTGTACTGGCGCAACAGGCTGCCGCTCTTGCACTTGTAGCACAGCGGTCGCCGGATGTTCTTCTTGAGCGTCAGCGTCCGCGTGTTGTAGTTGCAGTCTGGATGGTCGCAGACCAGCCAATTCTTGTAGAATCTTTGCACATATCGCCGCATGGCCAGCTGCAGCTGGTTCCGTATGCTCACGAGGTACTGCAATGGTGCGGTCTGGCACTCGGAATTCGCGCACTGTTGGAGTACGGGCTCATGCGAATGGCTGACGCCCGGCCGGTAGGCGCTGGCCATCAGTTGTTCGGTTTTGCAGGTCACACAGTTGAAGCGGAAGGGCTCGCACAGCCGATACAGCTGGAGGGTGGTCTTCAGCAGGGACTCGCCCTCGGTCTGCTCGTTGATCTCCCGCTGGGCGCTGCAAAAATTACACACTTTAGAGACTGATTTAGAGGCATTCCCTGGGCGCTCGACTTACCGCTGTGCATTCTGTCGGAACTTGGTGGGATCCATGCCCAGGCATTCGGCAATCCGGCTGGCATCGGTGCCCTCCAGCACCTCCACCATGCGCGTGACCACCGGATGTATTTGATGGCCCAAATAGTAGCTGGTGTCCAGCTTGAGCGTCTCGCTGCCCTTGAGCTCATCCATATGATAGGCGCGCTGCATGGCGGCATTTGTGCTGCCATCCACACAGATCACATAGTCGACCATGTCGCCCTTCTTGTAGCGGCGATTCCGTTCGCGGTTCATGCGCAGCGCCACCTGAACGTGGGGCAGGGAGCCGCTGTTCACGTAGTCCTGGGGAGCACGCGTCAGCTGTTTGGTGATCACGAACAGCGGCAGGGGGACAGCCGACTGGGCTATCTGATCCTTGATACGCTCCAGCTGGGCATGAACCGCATCCAGCTTCTCCTCCAGCTGCTTCTCGGCCAGAACCTCGTCGAGCACGGCCTTGCCCACCATGACGGCCAGCTGGGACCAATCACGACGCACAATATCCAGACCCTTGTGCTCCTGTTCGCGCTTCAGGACACCCTTCGAGGTCTTGCTCACCTTGACGGCGGCGTACTTCTTCTTTTTGAGCAGCAGCAGGCACGAGAATACCCCGTCAATGTCCAGCTCCAGCTGCTTATACATCTTGTTCACACTCTGCTTGATGCTGTGCCCGATCTTGTACACCTGATCGTAGTCCGTGATGTTCGTGTTGATCATCAGCGAGTCCGTGTCGCCATAGACCACATCATAGTTGAGCTTCTGCACCATCTGCTGGGTGTTGGTGAGTATCTCCCTGCCCTTGTGCGTGACCAGAGCGGCCAGATGCTGGGCAAAGAAACGCGAATGGGCAAAGCCCAGGCATCCGTACATCGAATTGGCCGTCAGCTTGAGGGCCATCTGCCTGATGTGGTACTGCATCTGCAGCTCCGGCGATAGATCCGGGGCAGCCATCAGTTTCTTGACCTCGCGACGTGACTCGACCAAACGTTTCAGCTGCAGCGGCAGGATGCCCGGCTCCGTCTTTGTGTCGGGCAGCGTGGGCAGCTCATCGGCGTCCACCGGCTGCTGGACGGTGGTGAAGCAGATGTTGTACTCCTGAATGATGCTGGGATACAGCGAATTGAAGTCCATCAACAGGATGAACTTCTCGTAGAGGCCACGCATGGGCTCCAGCACCAGACCGCCGGCATAGGCGGCCTTCTTGCGTGCTGGCAGCGTCGTGGCATCCGCGCCAAAGGTGGCATCGGAATCGGCGGCGCGTCCACGCTGCGGCTTCTTGTCGGGCACAATGTAGTTCTTCTCGTGGAAGGCGTGCAGCAGCAGAAACTCATTGCGCTCGGAGCGACCGCCCTGCAGGGTGCGTGTCATGGTGTTGCCGCAGATATTGGTGATCTGCAGGGCCAGCGGCATGATATTCAGCTCACACATGAGGCGCAGCATGTAGCTGGTGTCCTGCATGGTCAGCGAGATGAGCTTCGTGATGCTCTCTCCCTTTTCGTACATGCCCAGCAGATCATCGGCATTCACCTCCATGCGCTCCGACTCCTGCAGCTTGAGCACCTGCAGGCAGAGCGACTGCAAATCGTAGGATCTCGCCCGGATGCACTCCTCCGCCGAACGCTTCACATCGCAGACCATGCGCCCCACAAAGTGGTCCAGCAGACGCTTGCCAAATGAATCCTTGAGCCGCAAGCGGCCCATGCGCGACCACTGCGGTATCTTGAGGGCCACAATCTGATCGGTGATTACGTTCAGCTGGCAGTCCATGGCATCGAAGGTCACCACCAGATCGGCATCGATCTGCTGATACTGGGCCAGGAACCAGCTGAGCAGCGACCGCTCCGAATCGTGTTTGTAGATCTTTGTGGACTTGTACTTGGCCACCTCGATGTTCAGATCGAAGGGCCAATTAATCACCGCCGGCCGCGTTAGGGCGCACATGTGCCGATTGAAGGCGGGCTGTGGCGCCGGCCTATCGATATGGAAGCGATTGTGCGTCAGCATGGAGATCATGCAGATCTCGTTCTTCATTGTCTTCGGGTTCATCGAAGTGCGCACGTTCAGGGCGAGCAGCGTTAGAGCTGGCGGGGCAGCTGGCTTGCTGCCCTTATCCTGCACCAGTTCCACGTTCTTTGGCTCCGACACAGTCACCTCCGTTTTGCACCAACTCATCAGCGGTGACGGCACCTTGAAGTTGCTGATCTGCAGCCAGCAGGGGCCCTTGATCTTGCGCTCCAGCAGGAATCGCTCCAGGGCATTTGTGCCAGCACCGAATATGTGCGCTATTGAATCGTATTTCTTGTGGGCCACATTCGGTGCCTGCTTCCTGCCATCGTAGTGCACCTCCAGGTAGTCGCATGTCTGCGGCACATCGATGCCAATGACGTGGTTGGCAAAGTTCTTGCTCACCTTGCGCGAACGGAAGGTCTCGAGCTTCAGATCGCTGGCCACTTTGCTGTCAAACTCCTTGTAGATGTCCGCCACGGTTACCTTTTGCTTTGTCGGCTCTTTGGTGATGGGATCCAGCAGCTGTGGGGGGATATAAATTATACATAACTCTTATATATATATATGAGCTAAGACTTACATATTGCCTGGGCAGCAGATACAGCACTCGATTGATGTTTTGCACGCGCACCGAGATGGACTTGCCATCCGCCATGCGACCAAACAGAAAGACCTCGCCGGGCAGCTTCTGTGGATCCTCATAGGCCTCCCAGTACCAGAAACGCAGCATTTTATTGGACGTAATGGACGTCTCCTGCTCCGCGGTTAACGCGGACTTTTCAAAGTCATCGTCCATTTGGCAGATGGACTCCCAGTTGCTCAGCAGCTTGCTCATATCCTCGGGCTCCACTGGCGGCGGGCTGGTGGCGGGCTCTGGCTTGGCTGGGACGCGTGCGGCAGTCTCCTCTTTGGGCTTCACCACCTCAAACTGATTCTCGTCGTCGTCCAGGCAACTGAAATCCATGTCGTTGTCGGGAAACGGATCCTCTGTGGCTTCTGCGGGCTGCGTAGCCGCCCTCTTCTTGGCAGACGGTGGCTCATTCTTGATTGGCAGAGCAGAGGGCTGTGCCGCATTCGCGACTACCTTCTTGTTGGCTGCCGCTTTGGGCTTGAGGATGCGCTCCAACATTTCATGATCGCTGCTGGCCTCGGCCTTCTTTCGCTCCTGCTCCTGGATCTTGATGTTGTTGAGGAAGCTGTTCATGTATTCCTTGGCCGCGGCCGCCTCCGATTTGCGTGTCGCCGACACGATTTTGGCCGGGGCAATCACCTTCTCCACCTTTTTGGGTGCCACGCCTGGTTCGTCCTTCATTTCCCCGAGAATATCGGCTAGGATGTCATCATCTTTGACGCTGCTCTTCACGTCCGTCTTCTTGGGCACAGCATTGCTGAAGAGATTCTTGATGGACGCCTTGCCCTTCACTGGCTTTTCACTCTCCCGCGGCCGCTTCTTGCTGTTGGCCACATTCTTCTTCTTGTTCTTGGTGTCCCTCTTGTCGTCACCCTCATCGGAGTAATCGTCTTCATCTTCGAAAAAGTCGCGACCATCTTCCGCATAGCCAGTGCCATCTGCCAGGGCAGAAGCGATGTGTAACCAGAAAATCTTTGGCGTTTTATTGTCCCACTCACCCTCTTCGATCCAGTCATCGCCGTACTTCTCCTGCGCCCTCTTGGTGTACTCCCGCTCATCCACAACCTCGTACACATTGTCCACTTCCTCCGCCACATCACATTTGTTTTTGGTTCCCTTCAATTGACGCAGTTTCTCCAAGGCAGCAAAGCGACCATTTTTGTCGATTCGCTGCCGCTTGACGCGGGGACCAGCTGCACATGGAAATTGTTCGTAAATACATTACACCGAAGTAACTGGAGATACTTACAGGGTGAATCGGACATGTGCGCAGGTTTAAGTTGCTAAATTCGGAATTTGTTTATGCTGCAAATTTTCGTGCTGGAATTGGCGGCAAAAATAGCTGTTCCAGTGTGACCGTGACGATAAAGATACAAAATACCATCCGGCCATAAAAACATACCATTTCTGTTTCGAGAAATAACATTTAAATATAATACCACAAGAAACCAGGCAAACGAGACTTAACCCACTTAACACCCCCCTATTTAAAAAGTTGAGCACCATTTGTTAAACCGCGGAAAATTATAAGGAAAATTGATAAGGCTCCTTGTAGTTCCATCCTCCTCTTTACTTACAAAACAAAAATGACCACCGACAACTTTCACTTGTAATGAGTAAAATATGTTAAGGTTACAGAAATTTCGTGAAAATATTAAATATCCCCCTGGTCGACAATGGGATAAGATAAGAGGGGAATTCACCACTAAAGCGCTCTCTTCACCTCGAAAAAGAGAGCAAATTTAAAAAAACCACCACGATTTGCTCACGAACGCATAAAGTGACCAAGTCAAAAAATACCAGTTTTTGAGTATTCTGGTATTTTTGTATTTCCGAGTAGAGTAGGACAACACTATTTTCAGGGCAGTATTTCAGCAATCGAGTACGGCAATGCTCTCAGCAAAATATCGATAGTTGGCGGTAACCACCTCTTATTTTTAAACACGCCTATTTTCTTTACTATACCGTTATATACCTTAAGTATACCTTGAACTCAATATCGACAGTCAAAATATACCGTTATCCATCACGGCGATTTCCCTTAGCCCATTTTGTCGCTTTCTTAACGAAAACCCTCCACTTAAACACAACTTTTAGCCTTGTTTTATTCATATTTTATTCATCATGCATAATATTAAGCTTAAATAATAATATTTAATATATTAAATACAATAGACAGCATTTTGCGCTTACAAAAATTTGTGTTCATTTTGTTCATTATATTTCATTCCCTAATACAATAATCGATGCAAAGTCATGCTTTATATATATATATATACACACATACACAAAACAGACTTACATATTACACATGCATACATATACATATATGTGTATATTTATGACTATATTTGCTGTTTATATTCGCCTTTAAACAATAAAATTCATACATATTTACAATTGAATAGAAAATATTTAGAATTTTTGCGTCCATAGTCTTTAGATTTTACATTTTTCAATTGGTTTTTCTTGGTGTGTGTGTGTGTGTGTGTGTGTGTGGTGTTAAGGAAAATGATTTAAAGATGGGAAAATACTGTTTGATGGGGGCAGAGAAAATGCAAATGGTGAGGGTGATAAAGGAACAATGAGAAGAATGAGAAAAAGTCAGTCTACCAAAATGGAAAGTTCTATGGAATTATGAGGGATATATCATGTGGGGTGAAATAGAAAGAGAGAGAGTGTGCGTTTTAGGGGTTTGCCTTTGAGGTATTATTCCAGCTATGGGGCATACACATTCAATATATTGTTATATAATTTCATTTCTATTTCGACAATTATTTTTCAAGCCACAGTCATGGCACAAACATTTTCTTTTCTCTTATGTTTTGAAGATTTTTCTGGATTTGTATTCCTATAAAAATTCCAGTTCCAGTTCCAGTTTCGCTTCCTCTTCCAGTTCCCATAGTTTTGGCTAAACATTTAACAACAGCAACAATGATTACAAACAACAACAACAAATAACGGTTAACAAGTGCAAGACGGAACTGAAAACAAAAGACAATGCAAAAAGTAAAATTAGAATTGGAATTTCCTATATTCAAAGCTATTCGCTGCTTACCTTGCTCTGTGCCTGCACAGATGCCACGCTAGACCCACTGTCCTCCGACTCCGTCGCCCCCTCACACCACCTGCACTGTGGCAAAGGCACTAAAGGTGACCTTCTTGGGGAACTCTGGTCCCGGGGAGCCGCGTGTTTTGATGACCGGCTTCAGGGGCTGACGTGGCTTCAGGGAGAGCAGACCCGCGGATGCTGCCAGCTCCCTGAGCCGCTGGGAGAAGCCTGTGCCAGAGCTGCCAGACGTTGTCATGGTGGTTGTCCCATTGCCGTGATGCTCCAGTCCGGCACAGTCCAGGACATCCAGTCCGTTGTTGGATCGATATACCTGGGCCGTGGCCGTGGGATAGACAGCCAGATTGGTGCCGTTGCCCGTCGATGATGTGACGGATGTTGTTGCCGTTGCCGTGGCCGCCGCTGCTGGTGTTATGTACCTGCAAGAGAACAGAAGATCGGGATTAGTCAGCCTGCTAATTGATTTATTTTTTATTTAACCAGAGACTAAGCAGATACGCGCACGTGTCAGGTGTGAAGAGATCAGCGCTACAAGGGGAGTGGTGTCTTGTCCCACCAAATCGCACACAACTGCGAACTCTTTGGAGGATGAAGGCAGCGGCCGTTTTGGACAGCAGATCCATTTGCCTGGCAACAAGATGTGCCGCCGGCTGTGCAAAAACCCACACAAAAAAAATATAAAAAAAACCCTCCTACCATCAATTGTTCAACTATTTATTCATAATCCATCAAAATATTCATATTTGTGTGTGCTGCTGCTGCCTTTTTGCTCTTGCTGCAACACCAAAGACGCTAATCAATTTGTTTATGAACTCTTGGCTTTGAGCTACTTTAAGTACATAATACATACATATATCTGGTTATTTATATGGTACATATATCTGCATATATATTTATAAGGCTCTTGTTTGGTTTGAGCTAGTATTGTGCAAAAATATATATGCAAATGAGTTCACAAACAGCAGCCGCATCAGCTTTTTTTTTTTTTGGAGTAATTGTTGTGTAAATAAAATGTGATGAAAAGCGAAGGCATGATGAGGCATCATCAATATACTCTGGTGTGGGGGGGCAATCTTTGTTCAGTCTTTCAAGATCTTTCATATCCACTGAAAGCATTGGGGGAAACTTCCACTTGACAACCAATTGAATTGAGCTTCAATTGAACTAGATCCAAATGAAGTACGCTTTGTGGGGCGCTCTCTTTAATTGGGCTTAGGTTCAGGCCAAATATTTGCATAGTTTTATTACATATTTATTTGTTATTTTTTTGTAATTTTAGAGCAGTTTTATGAGTTGAGTTTCCAATGAAAGTTGTACAAATGAAGTGCCAGGAGAGCATTTGATTTAATAAACTCCAATCTTAGTATTGTAAAAGTATCAATTGGTTGTCCATCCCTTAGATACTCTTTCTGCGGTTAGGGTATCGTTAAAACATAAACATTTAATTGCCAGTCGCCTGATCTTTGTGGCTTAATGACTTTTGTTTTTGTTTGTGTTTCTGTTTTTTTTTTTGGTACTTGCCTTTCGGCTTTGTTTGCTTAATTGTAGCAATTATTTTGGCAATACAATTCGCTCGTTTGATGCCAATCTGAGCCGTGCTTTGCCCTTAAATTGCAGGCTTGGATTGCACTTCGAACGGTGGAGAATTTAAATAGCTTTGAATCTGCATTAGCATTCGATTGCCTCGTGCCAGAACTTCCTCATGATGTCAGCTATTGAATATCATTTAGGTGTGTGTGTATTTGGAAAAACTGCCTGTATGAAATCCTCAGAGCTGTGGTTTGATGATCAGGGACTTTGATCAGTTTAATTGCGATATTAATACGCTCTGAAAGATCTTAGTGGGTCACAGTCACAGTCAGAGCCGCAGTTAGAGGTACAAACAAAAAAAAAAACTTAATTACATTCATTAAATTGGTTTGGCCAGCTCTCAATGGAGTTTATTGGCTTCAATGCTCGCATTTTCATGCCCAGCACCGTGTGAATTACTTTGAGGTTCGGTCTACGTTTTTTACTGCGTGTATTTTGTCTATTGTTGGGACGGAGAGCTGCGCTTTATGTATATATAATTAAGGTTTATCAGTTGGGAGTTGCATACAAAAGGCATTTTTGGTTTGGAATCTTTTTTTTTCCATCTTCGTTTCGTTTTGTTTTGTTTGCTTTTGTTTTTGTTTTTGTTTTGGCATTGAACTTTGCTTTGACTTTGAGGCATTCAAGAAATCATAATTAATTATAATATTATAAACATCTTCATATTGTCTGCAGTTGGAGCCCCATCATCATATGAGGCCTAGTGTTGTAGTGTTGTGTGTGAGAAAATCATTTGCAATTTTTCACACAATTTACAGTTTTGAGAGGGGGGAGTTCTTTTTATTTTTGTTTTGTTTTGTTTTGTTTATATTTGTAGCAATGTCAAGGGAAAGTACCATAAAGGGCTGTAAATTGTTGCAATGTGCAAGGCTGTTTCTTCTCATGCGTTTCTTTTATTTTCAACTGAAGAATTTCCATTTAAAGATTTTGACATATTTATCACAGTCATAGTTTTAATTAGCTTTAACTGTGGGATCAGCATGGACCTGCAAGTTTACTTTTGGTTCCAATTGAAGATGGTGCTGGGCGGGGTGCCATGATTTTAGGGCACGAAGGCAACAAGGCCGCAAAAACAATCACTTTTAGACACGAATAAAGAATATTTATCATTACAAAGCCAAGCCAGTCAATATGATTTTTCATTACAAGTTTTAATAAATAAATGTAATGGGATTCTGTAGGGCTCTGCTGTACCCTAATCTTTTCTTTTGAGCAGCCTTTTTTGTAATGGGAATCTACTGTCAAACTTGTATTCCCTTGAAGGTCTAATGTACATAATTTTATTACTGCTGTCAGTCAGTCAGTCAGTCATCTCTTGGCCAGATCTCATAACCAGATTCCCATGCATCTCAGCTACATCTCCATTCCAATTAAAACGCATCGAAATTGGCTTAAAGAGTTGCTAATTTTGACCCAATTCTCATCGCTTGTTGGCGAGTGTGCGGGTGCGCAGGGCTGCTCTGAGGGGGGGGGGGGGGGGAGTTTGGTTAAGTTAACCGGTTGAGTTAATAAATAAATCATAGTTGATTTCGGATTGCCCAAGATGTTTGTTTGTTCGCTTCCCCCTTTTATTTTTAATAGTATATCATTTTCAATTCAAGTTCAGGCAGCGCATAAATTTTAAATTGACGGACGGCTAGAGGGCAAGAGGGTTAGAGGAAGGAAGCCTTTGGTTTGATTTTTCGGGCTGTTGCAATTTAATCGGCACATCAATGAAATTGATACGAGATTGGCAGTTAATTTGCTTTTGATGTGGCAATCAGAGTCGCCCGTGCTGCATCCGCACATACATACATATATAAATATACTCGCATATATTTCAATTTCGATGTCACGAAGTTGTCAAAGATTTGACAAATTACCAAACTTGTTTTTGGCCCCGTGCCCGTGCCCGTGGCCGCTGCCTCTTGAATCTTTATTGGCCAATAGCGCTGGCACATTAGGCAAATGTCTGGCATTATAATTTGTCAAATGCACTCGACATAAATCCATCAAAGTGGAATGGAATCAATGGAGCAGCAAAAACAGCAAACAGATTGCAATGAAAAGCATAACAATAAAGAAGAAAAGGAATAAAGGAGGGGGCCAAGCAGGTGCGTTAAATAACAGAAGATGAAGGGGTTGGAGATAGAGATAGATAAACAAACAGACAAGTAGAAAAAAGTAGAAAGAAGAGGCAGCTGCTAGCTGGCTGCTGGCCGCCTGGTCTCTAACATAATTACATATTTTTACTGTTGCAGTTGCATCTTCTTCACTGTGCCCCCGTCCCCCTCCTCGTGTGTGGCATGTTAAGCAGCTGCCAGCCCCAGAAAGTGGCAAAAGAAAATATATTATAAGCAAAGAAAAGCAACGAAAAAATAAAGAAAACAAAAGAAGCGCCGCATATGCGCAGTTTCACATCCGCAAGTGCACACACACACACACACACCTCTCCCCTCCTGCTGCATTCACCCCTCTCGCGCGTTGTCTTTCCCCTTGCAGCATGCCGCTAAAAAATTGCTTCATTTTGAGGCAAATGAAAAGCAATTTTGATGCCACAATTATCCATCCAGCAAGAGCCAAAGCCAAAGCCAAAGAGACGAAGTGAGCCAAATGCCAGTGCGAGTTTGTTGCTTGAGTCTTTTGTTTAGCATACGACAAAATATTCTGCACTTGCGACTGCAGCAGCGACTGGAGCAGTGTCTCAAGGAAGATAAAGCACGAGGGCTGCTTGGGGCACAGGTGTTGCCTCGCTCAGTGGCAGCTGTGCCAGAGATTAATTGTGGTTGCAGTGTAGTTACAGTACAGGACAACTTTATCCTGATTTATAATGCTACATAAAGTAAAAACAGTTTGTTCGGGCACAATAAATAGAAGATAAAGTTCCTACTTGGTAGCCTTTTTGGCGTTTAACTAAATAAGAAAATATCAATTATATATTTTAAAAATATAAACAAAAAATGTAACAACCAAAAAGCTCATGAGTTCTATTGGAAATAGTAATCTTTCCACCAGAAGACAGCTAATATATACGAGTAGATGTCTGGGTTTTATTCTTTGTCCCACTATTTAAAAGTTGTATAAAAAGAAAAATTATATTTTGGTCAGTAAGAATTTCAGCACCATTTGCATACGAGTAAACACGCAGTTTTGCCAGTCGACTCGACTCCGCTCACACCCCATAAATTAGACTCTTTTTCTGTGCCTTTTTGATTCGTTTTGTGCTATAATTTATTTGGCATACTTTAAGCAAGTTGTTATTGGCATCACATCGCCTGTGTTGACTGGCTCCAAGCCAATGGCCAATGGCCCATTGTCTGTTGTTTTGCCGCTTTCCTGTCCCGTACTCGTAATATCGAAATAAAATAAAAATATATACATATATCGCCTCATTTGGCTGGTTCAACTTTTGACATTTTCGGAAACACGTTTTGATTGAGTCTCGATAGAATCGCACAAAAAAAATTATTCTAATATTTTGTGCATGGGCGTTCTCCCTTTTGGCGGCGCTTGCGGTGCCATCAAATGTCAAGGTTGCAGTGCGGTAAAAGGCTCGTTCATATTTTCATATTGTGTGTGTGTGGTGTGCTGTGCTGGCTGTGAGTAAGAATTTCTAATTAGAATTGCCAACTGAAAAGAAATAGGAGGGAGGCAGGGAAGGCATAAAACCCAAATGGATCTATGTTTGTTTGGCCAAGTCATCGCTGCTCCCTGCAGAAAGTTCAACTGCCTCAGCACAACCGTAAAGAGAAACATATGTGAAGAGAGGGCAGCTTAAGTTCTGGCTAAACGAGAGAGTTTCGCCGTAGTTCCCTTTGCTTTATTATTTGCAGCAAAGCAAACCAATTCC